GAATATGGCAAAGGAATGGAGCAAATTTGGATATGGGCACAAACACATCTATGGGATTTGAGAAAAAATTTTAGATTCGGAGCTTTTGTTTTAATGATTTTTTCTGGCATAGCCTTCATTTTTGTTTTCTTTAGTGTAGAATGGAGATGAGAAAGACAAAAGAGTCATTTCAATAATAATAAAAATACTATATATAAGTTTACGCCCTTAATAGGAATTATGAAACATATACACCCTTTTAAGAATTTCAATATCTACCACGCCCTTAATAAGAATTTTCCTCGTTCCATTTCTAATAGTAAGCTATTCGTAATGTTCAGCCTTAGTGCTTTTTTTTTTTTTTTGAAAGGATACCTGTAATAGATTAGGAGGAAATTTCTAAACTATTACAATACATCTGATGATATGCTATATTATGTAAATCGTTTACATCCGACTTATCAATTTTAATCAATTGACAAGACTCAAACTACTCAATTATTTGTATTAGTAACGAAACTACTTCCTTCGCTTCGACCGGAATCGGATAATTCTGCAAATTTTCTTTTTTAATAGTTCACAATCAGTGTGAACTTTAACACATTGGATTCTTAAATTGGAAACCTATCGAAGTGTTGTAAACAGGTCATAGCCTCCATTTAGTGCATTAACCTACCACTCTACTATTTTTGCCAGCTGCTTAGATTTGCGTCAAGGTTAATCTGAAATTTACAAGGGTTTGATTTTTGAGAATAGAACTTTTTTTTTTATTTGACTAAGATCGTGCATTGAACCGATGTGGGACTTTCTCCATTTTTAAAGGGTTGTCCATTTAGAATTTTTATTTTTATTTTTTGTCCTCTCTGTTTTGAAAAATAATTTATACTGAATTTTGGGATTTGTATTAATATTTATAAAAAATTTTATATGGATTTTTTTTGTGGCAGAGGAAATACAAAATATATCAAAAGTGAAAGTTCGAATATAATAATTAGTTTTGAACATACGGGTACTTTAGTATTTTGCAGTTAAAGTGTTGTTATATGCTAAAGAAAAAAATCACTAAATTCTCGTTTCTACAAGAAGCACGAGTCTCTATCCAGTATACCCGGGGGCACCATACTCTCCCTCCTATTTTTTACACTACTAGACCTTACTACAATTTTTTCCACTTTTCTAAATAACATTCTATAATTTACAGGTTTAGTCCCTTTTATTTTTTTCCTCTCTCCTTTAAAAACATCTCTAATCTTTAAACGACCATATCTCATGATCCGTAAAAAATTACAGAACGTGTTACACATGAAAATTATAGTACTCGTCGAGATCTATCCAACAAGATCCATGTCGAATATTTTTTTCGAGTTTAAAAATGACTAAATTTCGATGGGCAGAATAAGATGTATATCTAGTTTAGAAAGATGGATAACCAGTTTAGTTTAAATTAAGATTTTTGTATTGCATATATCTCTTGATCCGTAAAGAATTAAAATACGAATTATACATGAAATTTATAGTGCTCGAAAAATCTATCCGATAAGATCCATGTTGAATATTTTTTTTGAGCTTTAAATACATTTAAATTTTACGGGCAGAAATGAAGAAATGTATTTTTCGTTTTTCTTTGAAAAATAGTTAACCATTGTGTTCCTACTGATTATCCAACCGGTTTTGACTGATTATCCATTCTGTTTGTACTTGTTATCCAATCATATTTTTGACATCCACTCTTCAAAAAAAAAAAAAAGAAAGAAAGAAAAAATGATTGGATAAGCATTGCAAATAATTTGGATAATCAATAGAAAATAATTGGATAATAAATCCAACACGTTGGATAATCAGTACAAAAAAGTTTGACAATCATTTTCATAAAAGAGCAAGGAAAAAAAATACCGGATAACCACCACAAAGAAGTTGGATAATAAATATGAACACATTGGATATCCAGTTTAAGAAGATGGATAACCAACTTATTTTATATTCATATTGTTGTGTTCCTTATATCTTTTGATCCGTAAAGAATTATAACACGAATTATATATGAAATTTATAGTGTTCGGCGAGATCTATCCGATAAGATCAATGTTGAATATTTTTTAACTATTTTAAGAAAAAAAAACTAGGTTGGATAAGCAGTACCGATTAGTTGGATAACAAGTACAAACATGTCGGACAAGTATTTTTTCATAAAAAAAATATTTAAAGAAACAATAGCACGGGGTTGGATAATCAGTACGCACACATTAATTGGACAAGCATTTTCTCGAGAGAAGAAAAAAAGAAAAAAAATGATTGGACAAGTAATTACAAACTTATTTGGACATGCAGTAAAAATAAATGGATAACCAATACGAAGCGATTGGATAATTAGTATGAACACATTGGATAATCGTGTTTCAAAGGAAAACAAAATGATTGGATAAGCGGCATAAATAGAATGGATAACCAGTATTAGCGTATCGGACAACAATTTTCTCCAAACAAAAAAAAAAAAATTAGATAACCAGTACAAACAGTTTGGATAGGCATATAAATCCATTGGATAACCAGTACGCATAAGTTGGATAGGCATACAAACCAACAAGTGAATGGATACCCAGTACAAGCGAGTTTGATATCCAGTGCAAACAAGTTTGATATGCATACAAACCAGTTGTATTACAACTACAAAACAAGTTGGAAGTTAAATATGCATAAAAACCAAATGGATGGATATCCAGTACAAACAAGTTGGATATCCAGTACAAACCAAATGGTTATCCAGTACAAACAAGTGGGATATCCATTACAAACAAGTTTGATAGGCATACAAACCAAATGGATGATATCCAGTACAAACAAGTTGTATAACCAGTTCAAATTGGTTGGATAATCAGCATGAACACAACGGATAACCAATTTAAAATAACTTGGTTATCCATATTGTAAAACTAGATATCCACCTTCATTCTGCCTATCAGAATTTAATCATTTTTAAGCCTAGAAAAAATATTTACTATGGATCTTGTTGGATAGATCTCGACGAGAACAATAAATTTCATATGTAACACGTATTTTAATTCTTCACGGATTGAGAGATATGCTTATTTAAAGATTAGAGATGTTTTTTGGAGGAGAGAAAAAAAATTGACATGGACTAAATTTACAAAGAATAGGAAGATTATTAGAAAAAGTAAAAAAAGTATAATAAAAACTAGTAGTGCAAAAAATAGAAAAGGAAATATGGTACCTCGGATTCACCCAATAAATTGGCAGAAGCACCTTGACAGCCCTTAAGTAATTTGTCATCCTTAAAATAAAGCAACCATGGCAAATATAAATAAGGAAACTTGAGATTATTAAAACCATGTTATTTTGTTTGATTAAGCTTGAAGACTTATTTCTGGTCCTACGAAGAGATTTTGTAGATTTGTGATGACTAGATTACACATAATCAACTCGATCTTCTTTTGGTCAAACCAAAAAAAAAAAAAGGCAAAGAAAAGAAATTAATGCGACAACGAGCTAACAAATTTTGATAGAATAATCTAGAAACAGATAAATTGATCCGTTGATATTAATTGTGCCAAAAACTTATTTTTAAGAAAATACATAAGCGGTGACATTATTTCACAACACCACTTTGTCCCAAAATAACGTTTAAATTGTTTTTTTTAGTGTAATTTGTAGTTAAAAGTAAATTAAATCACTGAATAGTTCCAAAACTTTAATTCACAATGGTTTGGTGCAAAATACTACTTATACCTCAAAATGATTGTATGTTTTGATTTCACTTTTATTGTAATTCGTACCACAATTTTTCAAATAAACAATTCAAATTATAATTTGTGATATGAACTAAAAGTATTACCAATTATTAATTATTCCATCCGGTCCTTAATACTATAAGGCATTTTGACTTTGTCTTAGATTTCACCTAATATGCATTTTTAATTGATAAAAAAATATGAAAAATATATGTTTACATCCCTTGTAGTCTCTTGATTGTTATGAAATATTTTAAAGACTTTTTGGTCAATTAAAAAATAAGTATTAGGTTAAACATATGACAAATTAAAATCACTTATATTAAGGATCGAAGGGAGTATTATGTAGGCTACATTTTAGACCGAGGAAAATTAGACATAATTGGATAGAAAATTATAAAATCTTTGGTAAAACTTTTTGTAACGTGCACTTGTGCATACGATGAAGAAAATTCATTAAAGGCTCTTACTTTGAAAAATTATAAGTGTTCACTTCCAAACAGGTTGTACATTTTAATGAGATATCTGAATCACGCAACGAAAACTCTAAAAGAGAAAAAAAATCCTACAATGAATCATCTTTTTAGTTTCTGTCGAGAGTTAGAAGATCTCATGTTCAAAAGGATTTCCTCAAAAAAAATAAAATAAAAAATTGTAGAGTTTGAAAATGACGAGTTTTTGAATATAATGTATGTGGAATTTAGACATAATTTAAAATTTGTTTAATTTGTGATCCAGACTCGACAGATTCATTGTAAAATGATCGTAATACTAACAATTTTTTTTTTGTTCTTCCTTTTTTTTTTCTTGTAATAATAATATAATTAAATGCTTTGAAGTATTTCTTTTTTTTTTTTTCATTCCTTTCCCCACAGGAACCTTCTTGCCGCTAATTATGAAACTTCTGAAAATACAGAGAAGTCAATATTAATAGCACTCTGCAGAATACATATGTTTCAACTCTCAATTGTTACCAGATTCAAATGGCATTCTCCCTCCTACGATTTCTATATAATAAATTCAAAGAAGCTGGTAGAATCTTCCCCTACATTTCCATTCCCCTGTTCAAATTCCCACCTCCAAATAATTCCATCTAATTATCTGAAGCACCAGCGTAATCTTTCTCCAACTTCAACTCATTCTTATCCTCCATTGTTGTTCAATCGGAAGCTTTTGCAACATAGAACTATTTTCAGCAGTAAAAATAAGATCAACACGCAAAAGGGTTTTGTTAGTTTGAATCAATTTAGCTCAGTATCGAAAGAAGAGCAGAAAATGACTGTCACTAGCCCATGTATCAAAGATGGAAGTCTGATGGTGAATGGGAAGGTTTTGATTAATCGGGTCCCGCCAAACATTACCGTTTCCCCAATTGGGTCTTCTGCTGCTTATGTGGGTGCAACTTCATCTGTTTCTAGCAGTAAACATGTCTTCTCCCTTGGATTTCTCAAGTAAGTTTGATTTACAGTTTCTTTCCTGCTTTGTTCGTTTAATTAAATTTGGGCTTTTCTTTTTTTGTTTGCAAAAGTTAAATCATTTTTGTAATTGAACATATATTGCCTTCGGGTAATAGGTTCCCAACAAGAGCCAATTAATGTTTGTTTTTTGGAATATTTGATTGCCAATTTATAGCATGATCTGCTAATGCAGCTTTTGCATTTGATAATATGCTTGTTTGATGAAATTCACATTCGTGTTTTATTTGCTTGATGATGCACCATCTTCTGATAAGTATATTTGGAATCCCCCCCGCAAAATGTATGCAAACTCATTACACAGGTTACTTTGTCTATAAACGAGCATTTTGTTATGTTCACCATTACACATGAAGCATGCGTAGTTTCAGGCACGAATTAATTCAATGGATGCTTCCCTTTTATGAAAATTATATCATTATGAGGCCCCAACACTTTTAAACATTGCTTCCCTCGTCTGTTGTTTCGATTGCCGTCTGAGTTGTCATAGTAAGGCTGTTGTATGGACACTTTAAATCTGCTGACATAGTTGTTTTGCCATTGTTTTTTAAATGCTTTTGAAGACTCTTGTATGATAAGATACTGTTTTAGGAGTTTTGGGTTCTGACGTTGACGAGTCTGTTGTATTGATTATGGATCCCTTAAGAGCCTCTGCCTTTTCAGAATCCTTCTGTTCGCAATTGATTTCTTCACTGTCATACAAAATTTCAGCTCCATGGATTGAAGCTGAAGTTTTCCCTCTGTAGTTTCCTGTTGTAATCATTCTCAACTCTGAAACTCTGTGTCCTCTCTAGGTTCAGCGGTAGCTTTTCCATCATTAGCCTCATGTTTTCCTGCTTAAGTTCGTCTCTCAGTTTATTTTTCTTCTCCCTTGCTGCTCTTATTTTAGGTTCAACAGTTTCTACGTATTCAGCTAGCCTAGAATTCTCGATGTTAACAATTAGCCCCTTTGTTCTTTTGCTCTCTTAATGCAACTCACAAAGCCCATTTCTTTTTCACGATACCAAGAGTGAGTCTTTGGCTTTTACCACGATCTATCTGCAATTTGCTTGCAGTTCTGGTTCTTTCTTTTCCTCATTCAGGAGTGCTTCATATGTTTCCTTGGTGTGTTCCTCACCATCATCTTCTGTTGTTCTGCGTACATGTTTGAATTCCAATTGTGCAACACTTTTTTGTCTCTCTTGATGGGCTTCTGTTGAGACTTCTTTTGGTGCCATGGCTAAGTCGTTCATAGCTTTCTTTCTTTCTCTTCTGCCTCAAGCACCAATAATAAGTTCATTTCTATTAGACATCTCAGCTCATCAAGTGAATTCTTGGACTAATCCTGATGGGCTCTACACATTCCTTTTTATGCATTCATGCTTAGCCTTCCCAATTCGTACTCTCAATTTCTCCTTTCACTCATTCCCTCTTCTCCGTTCTGTCAGGAACAGTAACTTCACTTTTTTCTTTGTTTTAAGAAGTCCTCAAGTGATGTAATTTTTTCAGTCAGAAGAATTTCTAGTTTACATTCTTCAAGTTCCGTATAATCTGCTCGAGCTGTTTTGCATAACATGCCAATGAATGGAGCACTTTGGCTTCAATGAATGAGCTTCAGTCATTTCGATTACATTTATTTCCTCCTTGGATTTGACAACTGATGTGATTCTATTTCAGTGATTCAAAGTTTTCACCGTTCGCCTTCAATTTCTCTTGATTTTTTATAACAGCACCTTCAAATTCTTAGTTTCTGCCATTAATTTCCCAGCCATTGTCGGTCCCAGGCCCACATTAACCTAAATCATGCTGGCTATAATCGTACCTTTTTTCTTCTAGAAGTCATTGATGTATTTTTTCTTTCTACCTCTGGCATGACTACTTTTTCTCTTGACCACTGCAATTCAAAATCAGCCTGTCCTGCTTGTTCTTTGATTGCTAAAGCTTTGTCATCAAATTTGGAGGGTTTCTATCAACTGATTTCTTCTAGGATTGAAGGGAATCTAAGCTAATTCCTGACACGAAGCATGACCTAATACAGAAAGGGTCCTAGAAATCACCGATGGCTGAATCTTTTGTCCAAAATCAACACTCCCTGAACTTTTATGACTAATAAATACATCATTTTTCACCTACCATTGTACAAAATACTGATACTTTGAGAAACCATTGTAATCAGCCTGTCTCATTTGTTCTTGGATTGCTCAAGCTTTATTATCAAATGTGAAGGGGTATTTATTGACAGATCTTTTTCCAAGAGATTGAAGGGTGTCTAAGCTAATTTGTGAACCGGAAGCATCACCTATGGACAATTTGTATGCAGAAAGGGTACTAGACATAACTGAAGGCTTAAATCTTTCGTCAAAGTTAACACCGCCAGATCTTTGACTACTTAAAAAATTAATATAATATTCCCCTAACATTGTATGAAACAGTGAAACTTTGGGAAGTTAGGGAATCTGTTGGACCCTCAGTGCGCTAGTGTATGAGACAAGTACAATAAGAGGGGAAGGGTTTACTTAGTGAACAACACTAGTTAAACATTTACGGCTTCCATTTGGACCAGTCCATGCCCTACATTCATATCTTCTTTAAAACTTCCTAAGTTACTAGTTCTTATTTTGCCTGTCTAATAAATGTTGTAGCTACTTTGTTTTTTTCTTTTGTCTTTAGTATTGTGTCTTGAAAATCCATATAAGAGAGATGTAGAGTTTTCTGAAAATTGATAGAATCAAACTTTTATCCTTTTACTTATTCCCCTCAAGTTTCAGTCAATTGCCTTTTCTTTCTTTGCTTTGTTTCCCCCCGAACTATTAATCATTGAATTTGAAACATCAAACCAGGGAATACCGTTTCATGTGTCTCTATCGATTCAAAATTTGGTGGATGCAACCATGTACTGGAAGTGTGGCCCGTGAAATTCCAATTGAAACTCAAATGCTTCTCCTTGAAGTAACAGAAAACTCTGAAGTTGCTCAGTCAGAGTTTCTATCATCAGAAGACACCTTTTACGTTCTTCTATTGCCACTATTAGATGGGCGATTCAGAGCATCTTTGCAAGGAAGTCCTGCAGATGAGCTCAAATTCTGCATTGATAGTGGTAATAGGATTACCAAGGATTGTTTTTTTTTCTTTTTCCAATTGACTGGCCCAACAAGTGCTGGGATTTTTTTTTATTTTTTTTCAATCGATAGACTGCCCAACAAGTGCTGTCTTTTTGATTCAGAGGATGTGAATGTCCAGACTAATCGGGTAGCTGAGGCTGTTTTCATAAACTGGGGAGACAATCCATTTATGCTCATAAAAGATTCTATCAAGTATGTGCTGTTGAGGATGAAATTTAAGGCTAATAATTTCTTTAGCAGTTGATATTGCTTCTGTAAACACTCATGATGCTCACTGATTTCACTTCTATTGTCTAGGATACTTGAAGTTCACAAAACTACCTTTGCACATATAGACCATAAAAAGGTAACCAATGATGTCTTCTTTAAATAACTGAAGACTATTATGGGTGTAGTACCCTAATGTCATTATATTCGTAGAAACCTGCACATTTGGATTGGTTTGGCTGGTGTACTTGGGATGCTTTCTACTTGGGCGTTGATCCAATCGGGATAAAGAAAGGCCTCCAAGGGTAAGAAAAGGAAATATTCAAAATTGACACTTCAATGAACTGCTGCAGTAACATCATGCGTCTAAAAAGTTGAACTTCCTTGAAAACAGCTTGAAAGATGGAGGCTTTGCACCAAGATTTTTGATAATAGATGATGGATGGCAAGATTTGGCAAACGAGTTTCACAATGAAGATGATCCGCCAGCTGCAGGATCACAGTGAGTGTTGTTTACATTCTCTATTGCTGGCTTTCACTTGCACACGTATTGTGTAATCATATGCCTGCCACAGGTTTGGATATAGACTGGTAGACTTCAAGGAGAGCAGTAGGTTCATGAGATCCGGAGGGGAGATTGGATGTTACAGTCTTCATGATTTAGTCAAATCCATCAAAGAAGATTATGGATTAAAGTAGGTGGCTTTATTGTAGAATCTGATGACTAGATTTCTGGTTCTTACTCCTGAAAGAAAAACTAGTTTGACCTTCAAAAATGCATGGCTTTGCAGATACGTCTATGTATGGCATGCTTTGGTTGGTTACTGGGGAGGAGTTCTTCCCTCGTCGGAGAAAATGAAACAATACAATCCCAAGATCACATATCCCAAGCAATCTCCTGGTAACAAAGAGAACATTTGGGATGGGGCCATGGAGAGTTTGGAGAAGTTTGGGATTGGTTTAGTCGATCCTGATAAGATATATGATTTTTACAATGATTACCATGCCTTTCTTGCAAGCTGTTGTGTTGATGGAGTCAAAGTAGACGTGCAGAACATTTTAGAAACATTAGGATCAGGACATGGGGGGCGAATATCACTAACTCAAAAGTATCAACAAGCACTAGAGGAATCTATTGCAAGGAATTTTAAGGAAAACAACTTAATTTGCTGCATGAGTCACAATTCAGATTCTATTTACAGGTTCGAACTTCCATTGTCTTACAAATCGATTGTTCGTACCGTTTCAAAGAAATCATTTTTCTGATCAATGGAATTTTCACCAGTTCAAAGAGGAGTGCAACTGCCAGAGCTTCTGAAGATTTTATGCCCAGAGAGCCAAAATTTCAGACCATACATGTTGCTTCGGTGGCATATAATAGTCTCCTTCTTGGAGAAATTGTTGTGCCAGATTGGGACATGTTCCAGGTATAAATCTCTGGAATCCCTTCACCTTTCCATTACTGTGTTATGGATAGTTTTCCCTTGGCTCCTTGCTTGCCTGAGATACAAATTGTTTTGTATCCACAAACTTAGATAACATCATTGGTGATACATTTCTAGATTAATGGGAATCTTAGAAGTGACTGTAATGTAAAACATTAAAAAACGTCAGGAACATTTTCCGTCTATAAACTTTCTTTGATGGTAATTTAGCGATTACCTTATTGCATCTTGTCTTCTTTTGTTCCCAACTTTAGAGCAAGCATGATACTGCTGAATTTCATGCTGCTGCGAGAGCATTGGGCGGCTGTCCTGTGTATGTCAGGTAGGTCCTACCACTGGGTTTGTGTATGCTAATTTGTGCTGAATTTCGCTTCCTGGAGGCTGACATTAAGTTATCCAGTGATAAACCAGGTTCACATGACTTTGAAGTACTTAAAAAGTTAGTGCTACCCGATGGATCTGTCCTTAGAGCAAAATGTGCAGGGCGCCCTACCCGAGACTGCTTGTTTGTGGATCCAGTTGGGGATGGGAAAAGGTAACATTTAAACATATACAAATGGTAGATGTGCTGCTAGTTTGATGAATACCTGAAGCTTCTTACTTTTCTTTTCCCTCTTTTTCCCTCAGCATGTTGAAAATATGGAATGTGAATCCATTCTCTGGTATCCTTGGTGTTTTTAACTGCCAAGGTTGTGGAAATTGGCATTTAAGAGAAGAAAAACAAAATGCATCGTCGTCAATATCTGAGCCGGTGCTGATTACCAGCCAAGTGAGTCCTACTGACATTGATTCTCTTGGTGAGATTGCGGGTGAGCAGTGGGGTGGAGATTGTGCCGTCTATACTTTTCGCTCTGGTAATTAATAATCTCCCTTAACTCAAACTACTGCCTTCTTCATTCACTGATCTCTAAACTTAAGAAATCTCAATCTTGTAGGATCTCTTACAAAAATTCCAAAAGAGGGAAAAATTGATGTATCTCTGGACACGCTTCAGTGGCAAATCTTCACAATTTCCCCTGTAATGGTAAGCTTTCTAGTGGCAGTGGGCTTCTGAACTTTACAACATCCCTTTTCCTGTCTGGATTTTAAATGTAGATTACCCATTGCAACAGGTGGTTACCGCCGGACTCGAGTTTGCGCCAATTGGTTTGATTGACATGTACAATTCTGGAGGAGCAACACATGATCTGAAGTTCATATCTGACCATTCAGATCAGAAAGTATGTGTAGAAGTCCGCGGTTGCGGCCGCTTTGGTTCGTATTCCAGCAGGAAGCCAACTGGCTGTTTGGTTGATGGGAAGGATGAAGAATTCCAGTACCATGAAGATGATGGATTGTTAGTCCTAGAGCTTAAAGGAGAAGGCATTGTAAAAAATGTAGAGATTTATTATTGAATGCCTTAAAAATCTACATTAAATCATGTCTGTTATGTTAATGTATCAATCATTCCAATCCGTCTAACTCTAACCTTGAATTGGAACATAAACAAATTAATTTAAACGTCAATGATTGATAAATAATTTGGAGCATTTTTTTTTTTTTCCCCTTTTTCCTCTGGAAAAATCTTGAATCGAATTATTGGCTAAACTGAATAGCCATTGTGATTTATTCATTTTTAAGAAGTTGGCGTTTAATTTTGAAAGGTGGTGTCAGGAGTGTTAAATGTCCCAATAAAACCACTGAAAAATAAGAGAGCTTATACGAGATGGCAAAAAAATTGCTAAAATCAGTATTTTACTATGTCCATTTCTAATCGGCTCTAGCTACTGAATTGAGACGTGAAAAGTTTGAACAAAATAATATTTTGGTAGCTCTCAAAAATTTAAGCATATCTTTTTCAGTTCTAAATAGTCAACTTGTCATATCAACGACAATAATTGTTTATAGAGTAATAATTTAAGACTATCGTCTCTTTTATTATATGTACTAAATACGAAAACCATATAAGAATAATATTTTAATTAAAAACCTTTTGATTATTTTCATAAAAAAAAAGTGGAGATTATATTAAAAACTGGAGATTAACTAATCAATTAATCAAGTATATTTTCTCTTTCTTTTTTTCTTGCTTTTTATTTTTCATTGCGATGGATAAAAGAAGAATCCTTTTATTCTTTTTTCCTACTCAAACATATAGTTTTTGCAAGTTATCTACTGAAACATAATGCTCTTGGAAGTTGGATGATGCTCACCATGAGCCAAGTTATCTACAAATAATCACGAGATCACTCAATCATTATTCCCATTTTAATATTTGTATACTATTTTTGGGAAATGAAAAACAATATTAAAATTTTGAAATCCTATTTAGTAATCTTTAGATTTCATCTCAAGCTGATCTTCAAACTTGTAGCTTGCCGTCTATGTATGATATAGAGCTAGGTTATCGCCATAGGTTTTTTTTTTTCCCCCCAACTCATCAGAAGCGAATACGTTAGTCTCAAATTAAGTAATAATGTTTAACCGACAAATGAAAAAAACCGCACTTAACAGAGACATTTCATTCATTTTAATTAAAAACCTTATACTTGAATATTTCTTCTAAAACAATAACAAAACATAAAATGATTCATACAACTGATTTGAAATTGAATATTGCGGTTTAACCTAAAAAATACAGCACTTAACTGAGACATTTCATTCCTTTTAAATAAAGACCTTATACTTGAATATTTCTTTCAAAACAATCGCAAAATATAAATGATTCATACAACCGATTTGAAATTGAATATTGCAGTTTAACAAGTCATACACAAAAGGAAAAACGTTGGTCATACCTTTTTTTTTTTTTTGTTGGCGACTTGTAAATTGTCACCATATAATGACAAAGATGGGCATAAATCGGACCAACGTACCATGCAAAACTAACTTAATAATTATCAAACTATATATCCGTGAAACTTGTCTTAGTGCGATAACGACTTGCTTTATTTTGGTGTTACTAAAATAACATTAAAAAATCTCGATTTCAATACAAATTGGCTAGCTTGATTTTTTCTTTTTTTGCTTTCTTAGTGAGAAATTGATTCAAATCATAATATCAAACTATGAGCACTTAATTTATTTTTCCCCCTTAAAAAGTCACTTACGTTCGGCATAGAATATCGACCTAAATTAGAATTATGATATATACATTCAAGTTAACTAGATGGGTGGGTCGAAGGTTTGGTCTTTTAACGTTCCAATAAACGCAGAAAGAAATGTAAAATTACTGACTCAAATAAGAGGAAGAACTTAAAATTGAAAAAAAAATATACATATATTTGTTACTATTTTAATACGATGATAAAATTGATTTCACCTACATAGCCGGAAAAATGATCAAGTTTTTTTTTTTATTGTTTTTGTTATAGTTCCATTTCCTAATACTCCAAACGACGTACGGACAATGATATTTGTTATTGAATATCCATAACGCTAAATTGTCCAAGATTTTTGTTTTCCAAGTGAAAGACAAAACATCGGTCTAAAACTATTTGCTTTCCTCCAAAAATTTCATAATAATACTCCATTTTGTAATTCTAACCCCAACCTCTTTAAATAGCACTGAGAAATGGCTCCAACTAACCACTACAAAAAATCAGCTAAAGCTAATTAGTCCAACCCTCCAAACCAACTAGAAGCAAATACAAAATGGCTAAGTATTCTTTAGTTAATGCTGTAGTTTTTATAATAATAATGATCATGAATTTCTCCCAAGCACAAATCCCATGTACGACAGTTAACAACAATCTGTTGCCGTGTGCAAGTTACGTGATGAACGGAGGAACACTCCCTCCGGCGTGTTGCGACGGCTTCAAGGATCTTGTGAATATGGCTAAGACACAAGCTGATCGGCAAAGTGTTTGCAACTGCGTGAATACGTTCCTTGCAAATGCCGATGATGGGCAGATCAACAACGCCGCCAGCATCCCTTCACTTTGTGGTGTCAACATCCATTTCAACATCACTCGTAACATGGACTGCTCCAAGTAATATTTACATACATCTTTATTTTTTCCGTCGTTACTTAATTTTATACTCTTAATTTAGTCACATTTCGAGTGGTAAAGTTGTTTTTTTTTTGAATTGAGATTTTGATTTTGTCTTATAGAACCATTAATGATAGAATGAATTTTGTAGTAAAAGGGAGCCTTTTTCACTGAATTTTTATCTTCATTTCAATGTAGGCTATGAGCATGAGTTGCTATATTTTAATGATAATCAATGATCAAATTTTTATTTCAGGGTGAACTTGGCTTGAAAGCGGCGACCTGCTTGAGATTCTTAGGATAATCTTGGCTGAGCGTTTGATGACAGAAGAAATTGTCTGAGAAATGTACTTATCTACAAAAGAGACAAACAAGACATACTGTTAGAGTTGATCGCTCACTTAATTATATATAGATATAATATGTATACTTCAAAAATATATTTTGTGTTATAGTAATGTATAGTTACAATTATTAATTTTCTTCTAAATTCTTCTCTTTTCCAAGATTGTGTATGATTGTCATGTTTGTTGTGATGAAACTCGTTGTTGTCACACATTGGTATAAGGAGAGACATTATATCAATATAAAAGTTACATGAGTTATTTCCCTCGATGTCATTGGGTTTCGAAATGAAATTTCTCGAATTTTTTTCAAAAAGAAGAGGGGACCAAAATATGTTATAATTATTCCATAATATGAATCAAAAGTGTTGATCAAGTACACATTTAATAATAAGAAACACTACATAAAGGGGCACATTTGTGCGTGTAGTGGAAAAATTCACTACAATATAATTGCAATCATTCAAAAGGTAACACGTAATCTTCTAAATGATCACTCCAAGTACTTCATAAAAGGATGATAGAGTACAATTCAAAGTCTGAAGAAACATAATCTACATATATATATAAGGGGGAGTTGACCGAGCATGGACCTATTTAGGTATGGTGGCCGGTCACTCCCCACACACCTGTAGTCTATCTATTGGAACCAACTATTGTCAAATGGAACTTCTACTACTTTTATCGGTTTTATCTTCTTCGTCTTCTGCACATCAATGCCGTTCAACACAATTAAAAGCCAAATCCATAAAACGTATCGGCCACATCAATATCATAATCTCTCAAAATGGTTTTCTCCCAGAATCTAATAATCTTTTTCCTTCTCCCAAACCAAACATCTCACCGGTTTCGATTGCATCAAGGTTTTTATATGCTCGCTGAATTGTGTTGTTTTTTCATTCTTTTTATTCTTGATTAGCAAAACTATGGGTACCAAAAATACTTCAAAATCGAATCCCGTTTTTTATTATAGATTGTTGTTATGCGGAATATAGACTAAATATGGGTACTAAAAAAATCGCATATTCCCCAAAATTGCATTGCTGGGTTTGCATATAAAGTGTTTGATCATTTCCCTCAAAGAATGCAATTGGGACTTTCCCATTGGTTTTTTTTTCATGTAAATTGCAGATTGGATTATAATTTAATTCCTCGCATTTTCATGTGTTTGATATCCTATGTATAATAGAAGAGATATGAATGGCTTGGTTCTTCGTATGTTATAATTTCATGATAGCTTAAAGTTTTGCATCTCCAGGATCGCTCTGAATTCCAGTCCGTTATTTGCATTGTTGGACGTTGTGTTAGTCGCAAATGTCAAGTTCAAGTGGCTCACAACCAATAAGGTACACTGTTAGACTCTGATTTTGTTAATTCATTACATTTCACTTGGGTTTGCTTGACAACATTGTCTGTTGGAAACTTGGAACAATAGAGATACAAATAGAGTTTTTCATTACCGTGTGTTGTGAACAGAGTCTACAAATTATGATGCTATACTATGTTCCCCGTGCGCATATTCTATCCATGTATTGGTTTGCTTGAGAAACTTCAATGGTGAAATCTATAAACATTGTAGTCCGACAACAGACTTCCAGCTTCAAACGTGTTTTGAAGTTTTAATCAATATGGAATTAAGAAATTTAGTAGAGGATTAGAATCAAAATGCAAACAATTAACCTGATAATGATACATGCAGCTTGAATGTAAAACTATTCTTATACATTGATTATAAAATAACTTGGGAGAATTTTTATTAAGGGCATTGGAAAGATTATGTTTATTGTGAGGGGCATAGGTTATAAACTAATACTATCAATGTTTTTCACTTATGAAAAGACCAAATAATCCCTCTTTCATTTTCCATGACCAGTGAATCTGTAAATTCAAGAAAGGAAAATATAAATAAAAGACCATTTGCTCAAAATCGGAAAATGGAAATCTTATCGGCAGAAACCATGGCCAAAACTTAATCTTATCCTTAGTTGCGGTCGACGGCTCCCCGATCTGACTTCGTAATCCATCCATCTCCTTCATCAATTAAAGTTTGGAGATCAATTCAACACAAACAAAGCCCTGGTGCAATAGTGCACCAATTACAACTCTTTTTACATCAGTGGCATTCTCTTTGAACCCTAATTATTATTAGAATGAGAAAACTTTGTAAATGACAGTTGATTCTTAATCTTGTTTGAAATCAAGCAATTGAGTAAAAATTATGGTTTAGTTCTATTGCATATGAAGAATACAGGAAACCTTGTTATAGTTTGGATCAAACATCTTATAAAATATGAGTTTGGATGTATAAAAACAAGAAAAGAAAAATTTGCAGCAAGGTTGAACTTGGATGGATTCTAAAGGAGAGAGGAACTTGGCATTGGTTTAGAAGAAATGGTCAAAGTAGTAATTTTGCAAACCCAATAATACTAAAAATGATGTAAAATTAATGATAGTGAATTAATAAATCTCATGCCCTTTTTAATAATTATTATTCTTCCAATGCCCTTAATGAAAATTTTCCCAAATAAATTTGGGACCTCTTAAGGTCTGGGCTATCATTCACCATTAGCCGCGTGAAGTGCAGCCACACAGCCTAGTAGATAAACTATAAACTTGATTTAGTAAAATCTAAATTGTTTAGTTTTAGCCGATGAAATGTTCCATCAGTAACCAAAAATGTCACATGGAAAACCTAAAACGTTATAGAACTGCATATTCACAAAATATTTTTGTATGATCTTTTAGGCAATGCCTACTTAATTTCGTAACGCAAAAGTTTTTAAAAAAGGAAGTATGTATATGGAATAATAACTTGAAAAGACCTTTGCACTGTTAAGAATGAGAAGAAAAAGTCATACGACATTGGTATAGCTCACTTTATAATGTAATAATGTCTTTTTCTTTGGTAAGAAAACTTGGCCTCAGTTTTATCTTAGATTTCTCTCAATCACTCTAACTCACGCCGAAGGACATATCTCATCAGCTCTAGCTCAGTAATCGTTTCAGAAGGAAAAGATGGTGTTCCAGTGCTCGTGGTGTAAGAAGACCTTCAACAATTTCACCATCGAGCAAGGTCGGATTCATGTGGTTGCCTGCCAAAAGGCTACTTTGTGAGTTTATGCACTCGCTGCTGCAGCAGCAGTCGTAGTGGTTGCCATTGTAGTAGTGGTGGTTGTTGCTGCTATTGCACGTCGTGGATGATCCTCACCACGATCGTATAAGGCTACTGTAAGTTACTTTTACTATTGTTTTTTAGAGATGACCAATTATTTCATATTTAGCTTGATATAAATGAATGATTTACTTCCTAAAGCGCTGATGTGATTGGTGAAACAGATGCACTTCTACATGGCAACATAAGATATCTTTGATAAACATCATCTTAATTGTTAGTGGTCTTAGGTATTAATTATTATACTCTGTAGAAAGTGATTTATGGTAGGGGTTCATGCATGTAGTTTCTTGCTGTTGTTCTCTCTTTCCTTTGTAGACATGATTATTTGGTTTTGTTTTCATTCTCGTGATCATTGGTTTTATTCAGGAAGTAAATAATTTATTATTATGAAAGTGTTTATTAAAATGAGAAGATATGATGAAAATGGAAAAGGGAGTTTGGGATAGATGAATGTAGGCATACCTAAACTTATAAATTGAATATGAAAGTATTAATATGAAAGTGTTTATTTCAAAATAAAAAGATGGATGAAAAAGTGGAAAAGGGAGTTTGAGATAGATGAATGTTCACTGAAAATTCATGTATGCATACATAAACTTGTACATATATTTTGTTTTTGAGATCAACTAGCTGCTTATCAATTTGTTTTATCTTTGTAGATTTACGGTACAGGCGTGGAGCTTGTTGTTGGTTTCTTTAGACTTTTATTAACTATTTGACACTTTATATTTCTATGTCTGTATTATGATTTTGGACATTTTCATATGCGTAAAAAAACGTAATAATGCAGCCAAATATATTATTGGAAAACCTAGCTAGTGTATATATTTAACAAGATCCTAATGATTAAAAAATAAAACTGACCTTTTTTTTTTATCTTAGAATGTAACTCCAATGTTCTTAGTAATAATTCTTTTTTTAAGCCACTAATACTGCTTAAAGGTCATTTGTTACTTAATCATTTGTAGCCAAAATTACAAAATCTTATGATGGTTTAATCTATTTTTATAAGATATACTCACTCTGTCAAATAAAATATTTTAGTGAAATGTACAATGTATAAGGAAATGATTTTGTAGATATCCTTTGAAAAAAAAGAAGAAAAATGGCATGGATATCTTGTGAACTGTTTTGTTTTGGGCCATGTGAAATTTGGAAAACAAGAAGAAAAATATCATGGATATCTTTGGATGGCTTTTGGACTGGAAAAAACCCAAAAAAAAAACCTATATTTGCTCTCGTAAAAAAAAACCTAAGCTTCAGAAATATACAAATAGTAGTAGATTCTCTTGAAGCAGTTAACTTTTTGACTGACAAAGACTCTTCGTTTGTAAACAACAATGTGTTTTACATGATCAGAGACCTACTTAGGCTCAGTTAGCGAGTTTTGATCCAGCATACCCGACGTTGGAATAATGTTATCGCCGATGGCTTATCAAAATTTGCCCTTCATGTCCTTTAGGAGATCATATTTTAGCAACTCATCCTGCTATAGTAACGGATAACTTAAAAAATAGACAAATTATCTTCATCCCATCCTGAAAGGAAAGTTTTTGTAACCTAATCGTTCTTGGTTTTTTTTTTTTAATAAGGAATAGTTTTTTTTATAAAAAAAAACAATTTTATTAATAATAAAGAAAAAAAAAGGGCAGCGAATATACTAAAGCCTATATCAAATACAAATTGGATTTTAAAGTAAAGTTGAATTCTTGTTCAATCTAGCATAGTGACAAACTTGAACTCTCTTTTTAGCCTTAGCTTTTTTCGATTGATTGTGATATGTTGGAGCAGAAACTTCACTGTAAAAAGACTCTTGTTCCATTGCATATTTCATATCAAAGTCGTTATTTTCAGAAGCATGATTTAGTCCACCTTCGGAATTTATTTCTTCAATCAAATAATTTGGATTAAAAGTCTCAGTGTTTTTCCCGATTTCCGTATCATCCTTGGACAAGTACGATTTTGCAGCCGTAATGGGCAGTAAAACTTGTAAAAGAGGATGAGGAGAGATGGTAAATTCTGGGGCTTCCGGATTTAACTTTTTAATGGGGCTGTTGAAAGAGTTATTTGAGGAAGAGATTCCTTCCTTATTTGAGGGAGAAGAGTCGGATAGAAGAGTAATTTGACGTTGTCTTTGCCTCACTTGAGTTTTGAAGAGTCTTATGCACAATTGGCGCTGAGATCACGGGAGTCTGCTCACCTTGTTCCGCACTTGAAGAAGGAAAAGATGGAGTCAGTTTCGGATTCAAACCTGAACGACCTTGGAGATTTGAAATTGAATCAGTTTGGCTGGAGATTCCGCACATCTTGGGCGTTGACTGCACATCAACGGGATTCTGTTCCAAGGGCGTAATCTTTAGGAGTTTTCCGGCTGTCATCGGAGATTCTCGCCACCGTTCCACCATTGACGATGTAGCAGCCATCGAAGACAACCGAATTGATATGGATTTTTCAGTTCCAATCATCAGATTATCAGCAACAATAGAAACCAAATGAGTAGCAACAGCGGCAGCACCAAGTGAATCTTCAGGGTCTTCCTGGGCTGCTGAGACTTGTTGAGCGTCGTTGATTTGTTGAACATTCACTTCATTGATTCGCTCTGAGATCGGCGGTAAGAATTGAGGGGAAGATGATTTTTCTCCCTTAATTAGTGGAGAAGCAACAACTTTGGCGGCTCGCTATTCAGGAATAACATTGCTAGTTTATTGTTCGGCGGTGATGGTTTGTTGATCTTCCAACAGCAGCATAACAGGAGGATCCTCTGGTTGGATCGCTGATTCCACCGGCCCATTTTGTTTATGCGCAACAGTCTCTACTTTCGGAGGTTCACCTTGCGGAGTCGCAGCTGGCATATGTGCGACTTTCAATGGATTGTTTGTTTCCTGCGTGTTCTTTTGCTTGGCTTGGGATGATTGCTGTAACTGCTGTTTCGGATGAAGCAAATCAATCTTTTGTGATGATGGTGAAATTGTGTTGTGTCGGCAGGAATGGACATCATGTCCAATTTTTTTACAATCGACACAATATTGAGGCATGTTCTCATAAAAAATTTATTGAAAATAGGTCTATCCTTCAACACCAAGTCTGATACGAATTGGATGCTCCTTGAGAAGATCTAGTTCCACACAAACTCGCGCTACCGATGGTCGTAACGTGTTAAGAGTTGGAACGTCGATTTGAAGGGGGGTTCCGATAATGCTAGCAAGTTTCCACAAATATTCTTGGTTGAAACGATGAATTGGGAGACCTTCTAGGGAGATCCAAACAGGGACGATTAACCTTTCGTACGCTGGATTAAAATCCGTTGTCCACTTTAGGACCCGCATTCGATGTTTGTCAAATGTCCACAAACTTTTGAGCCAGCAAAGGTGAAAATCTTCCTCTAGTTCAAAGCGAAAGAGGATGTGTCGGTAATCAATCGATCCAAGAGAAAAACTTCCTTTGAAGCCGATAGTCTGGAATTCTCTTCTCAAAAAATCCATTTTTGGCTAGCCTTTAGTAAACTTTCCTACAAGAGCAAGGCGGAATGGAGCAGCCAGTTCAACATCTTCTTCTTTTGTAAGAAGAAAAGTTGGCTCACCTTTGAAAGTCGTTGGTTCGGAGAGTATCATAATCGAATGGTGTTTGAATGAGGGTTCATGTATGGCTTTTGGATTTGCCTCGGATCCTAGAATCTGAGCAAAGGAGGCCTTTTGGGGGTGCTTGGTAGGTGGTGGTCGGCCTATGGCCAGTGGCGGGTCGCCGGCCATAGGAGAGTGACAAAGAAGAAAAAACTACTTCTTTCCAAACTGTTCTTGGCTTCCTTCTCATATAAACAATTAAAAAATAAAAAGAAGACTGCTTCAAAACCCATCTGATTATCACCAGTGCACCCCTAACATAGAGATAATGGTTGTAATAAATAAAAAAATCATAGAATTACTTGACTAAATCAATTACCAACCACATTAAACCAATCAATCGCAACACAATCAATAAGACTAATTATGGCAGTCTGAACTTCTAAAATAATTTCTGTCTAAACAAAATAAATTACTAAGAAAGCAAACTTTGGCTACAAGGATCACAAAAACTCCGACACTGGTGGTACCTGCAGGAAATTTATCGAAACAATTTTGGCACCAGTTCTAACAATCTCGTAGACTATTTTTGTTTCATCTGTTGTAGCCTCATAGGCTAATTTCAATCTCCTGTTACATCCTTCAAATTCCGCGTCGCCTGACGAGTAGATGTCCATTTGATTTTGCCAAAGGCAATAATTTTCCTAGAGAAATAAAAAGAGATTTGGTGGGTAATGATCTCAGATAAGTGCTACAAAATATGTGAGTTAGAATCCACTTTCTGTGCAACAATAGTACTTAAAGAATGCCAATGTAAATTCACACAAATAATGTTAATATTAAAGCATTTTCTAAGCTAAATATTATCAAGGAAAAAATGCTCCTAGCAGTACATCATAAAAGTAAGCTACAAACAAGAGTCAGCAACAATAAAAAAAGGGTAACAGTAATTCAAACCTCACCTTTATTTGTTTCTTTATTGTTGCTGAAAGATTTTTATTTTTTATTATTTTTAATGAAAAGACAAACTTACCCTTTTAACAAGTCAACAGTTGAATAGTTAACTGTTATGATATAGATAGTTTTTGGATGGAAAAGCGAAAAAGGAAAAATTCTTAACTTATGCTGTCACATAAGAACAGTTTGAACTTAAGGTACTAAGTAAGGACCTTATTTGACAAAAAGTTAAAATTAAATGAAAACAAAGTCTAATACGCGAATTGATATGATTTCACTTGTAAGCAAATGGATGTTGGTCAAAAGACTTGATTTCTTGCACAAAATAATTAAAAAAACTTACAAAATATCATGATAAATTATAACCAAATATAGGGAAAGATTTGAAATGATGAAAGTGATGTTCATGTTTGAAAACACCTAGGGCTGGTTATTTCAACAAGAACAAGCAATAGAATATTTGGTAATTAATTTTCCGTATTAAATGTGTAAACAAAAATATTTACCACTATTAATGTGTTTTTACAAACACTATTTATAGTTGTTCTAAACTAATTTGAAAGCCAAACTAGTAATCAACAAGCATGAACATTTTGTACATCATTTATATATTTGATCCTAAAACTATTTGATATATGATATGACCATCAACGTCTGGATTAGAAAGAACTGGCTACTATTATTTTGTCTCCTCAGTCATTATGAGCATAAATTAGGTTCTTGATATTCAATAATATAACCTCAAGAATAATGATTCTACCAATCCTTCCAGAGCCTTAACACTTTAAGAATGACGTCTTAGTACTTCAAGAACACAAGAACCTTGGGTTCCTTTTATTGGAACTATGTTTCTATTCATTTTTGTTTCTAATTGGTCAGGTGCCCTTTTACCTTGGAAAATTATACCATTACCTCATGGGGAATTAGTTGTATCCACGAATGATATAAACACTACAGTTGCTTTGGCTTTACTGAAGTTATTTCGGAAAATATATTCAACCAACTCATATGCTTTGCCCATTAATATTTTAGAAGATTTCAAAACCTTCATTGCGAGTTTTTGACTTTTTAAAAACAAAGCATTTAAACTTGTAGCACAAATATGTACCATATCCTAAATTTAGCCAAGCATGTGATTTGAAATTGACATACATATCAATAGTGCCCAAATCATTTCTATATACATTTGTCTAAATAAAATACAAATCCATACAACCAAACGGACCCTTAAACAACTTCATAAAAAGAGAAAAGACACTATCTTTGGATACACGTTTGTTACCTATTGCCAAAATAAAAATAAATAAATAGAACAAAAAAATTGTTAATTGAAAATAATAATAATAATAATAATAATCATCATCATCATCATAATCTATAAGTTTTATTCAAAAGTCAAGAAACAACGCATTTTGCTCTCAATTATGTATTGAATAATAAAAAAAACATCATCTATTATGATACAACAATTATAAAATAAACCCAAAAAATAAAGATATAAAACTGTAAAGAGTGAATAGGTAGGGAGAAAACAAAATAAAGAGAGAGAGAGAGAGAGAGAGAGAGAGAGAGAGAGAATTGATCTGTATATTAATTTTTAAAGACTAATATCATTTTATAAACAAAGTGGATGCACGGATAAGTGTATACAACGATAAGATCTAACTATGATAAGATCTAATTGAATATTATCTCTATACATTTGATTACTTGTATAACTCTTTTACTTGTGAATATCCACAATATTATATATTTATAACACCCCCCTCCTCCCCCTCCCCGGATCTCTATTTCTTGGGGTAATGTCTCGTGAAAACCTTTAGAAGAAAAAATTTCGTGGGATAAAAATCTAATAAAGGGAAAAAAACACACTCCGGAATATGACGCTGACTCATTAAAAACCTTGTCAGGAAAACTCATTGGGATAAAACTTCGATCAAGGGAAAAAGAGTACAATATGGAGTTACTCCTCCCATTGAATACGTCACTTGTGGTCTTCTCGCCAAATGCTAAGATGTTGACCAGTTCATCACTGTTGAAATCGATAATAGATAGATTTTCTGAATAGTCATTTCAGCTTCTTATACAGATGATTGTCTTCACATACCATGTGAAATCTTAAGTGTTTTAAAATAACAGAGATCCATAACCATTGTAAGTTTTTGATCAAGAAAGAATCAAAAAAAAAAAAAAAAATAGAAGTGACAAAAAATAGTTAGGGGAGTGGCCAAAAGTATGAATATCGGATTTCCAAAATCCGATATTAACTTTTGCATGTGAATGACAATCGAATTTTTGAAATCCGATGTCAGCCTAAAATCGGATTTCGGATATCCAATATTCATATTTTTGGCCACTCCCCCGTTCTTAAACTATTTCCTGCCACTTCTTTTTTTGGGGAATTATTTAGCTCAAGCACCCTCCAACTATCGTATCTCAAAAGTATTAATATATACAATCTTTCAATGCCTTGAGTAATGAACAAATAAGGTATTTCATGAGTATTACATTATTACTAGAAGGCCGTAAAAAAGGATTTTTATGTACATCAAGATCGTTGCCAAATGCATTCAACAAGACTTAAATATTAATATATCACGGTGAAACTAATCAGACCGAGACTCTACTCAAAGTCTTTTATTATTCTTGCTTTAGGCAAGTAGCAACATTTTGAACTTAGCAACTTTTTTGAACTTCTTTTGAAATCATAATAGCTGCGATGAACTCTTCAGGAGTTATAGATATTTAGGCTATTCGAGCTCCATAATAAGTTTCAATAATATTCACTGTTTTTTTAAACTCCTTAAGAGTTTAGCATTAATTGAGATGTAAACATATATAAATAATCACGCAGTGTTTTTAACAGCAATCCTCTCTCTAAAAAAATTTTCTCCCGCTTCTCTCAACTATTCAAATCTCGAGCCCTAATTCCCATAGCGGCTGCCCCGCCTCTGGACAACACACATGCCAAGAACTTGATGTTTTCCCAAATTCTGAATGGCATAAAACCCAATCCACGAAATCTACAACAGGCGTTTGAAAAATCCAAAATCGAAGAACCATTCATTGCTTCAAACCCTACTGTTTGAAAAAAGGAACCATGCTTCCTGTTGACAAAAGAAGAAGACGACAAGCTTGCGGAGCCTTTCAAACTGGCGCTTATTGGCAAATTCACGAAGGGAAGGCCATCCATGGAGTACTTGTGGAATCAGTTCCTAAAGATTGGTTTCAAGGGAGAATTTTCATTGGGTATGATCAATCACAGGAATTTTTTGATTTATTTTGATAAAGAAGAGGATTTTCAGAGGTGCTGGATCAAGGTTCTATGGAACTTTGATCATCACGTGATGAGGGTTTTCAAATGGGCGACGGATTTTAATCCAGAGCATGAGTCGTCCATCGCACCAGTGTGGGTTGTGTTCGAAGTGCTGCCAATCCATCGGTTTAATGAAGAATACTTGAGGAAATTAGCAGGAATCATAGGGACGCCGATGAAAATTGACGTCCCAACTTTGAACATGTCCCATCCATCAATCACGAGTGTGTGTAGAAGTTAATCTTCTTCATGATCTTCCGAACAGAATACATCTTGGGACGACTAAAAATTCATATTATCAGCTGATAACGTATGAAAATCTTCTGGATTATTGTATGGAGTGTCGAAGATTGGTCACTCGGATGTTAATTGTCGCCATGGAAAATCGAAAGGGGAAGAAACGCGTCCTGCGACTATGAATCGTGCGACCGTGACCATCAAGAACCCACCAAACTCAAGGAACGCAGTGCCTGTACCTCAAAGAAAACCCAACGCAGCACCACAGGCCTGGAAGAGCAAGGAAAATCAGACCAAAAATGTAGTTGATACTGCTACTACTCAAAAGGAGGCTTCGACTTCTGGACTGACTGATAAGGAAAAAAGACAAATCCCAACTGATGTTGTTCTTCTTAGTCCTCCAACTCAGCAAGTGAACCGCCTACTATCAAAAGAGAAATTGAGTGCTATAATTGAAAAAAGTTCGAAGGAAGAGAACTTAGAAACTACTTAGGATGATGATGGGAAAATAGATGATATTGAAACAGTTAATAACCAGCTAGTTGTGTATAAAGCGCCAATGACTTCCATCTATCCGATCAATTTATCATCTAGATTTGACATCTTCGCGAATTTGCAAGTGGACCAGGTTGATATCTCAGAGGCAGTAGCAAGTAAGAAAGAGAATGGGTTTCTCGACGAAGTTGCGAGCGACTCGGAAATGGAAACGGCCTACGATGAAACCATGGAATGTCAAGAAAACAAGAGCCTCGATGATGGGACTGTTGGTCTGATGGAAAATGTAATTGAAGATGCTCGTTTGGTTGTGTCAGATGGAGAAGGGAAAAAGAAGAAAAGAGGAAGACCGATAGACTACAAGAATGGAACAAAGGCAAAAGATTCAGAAATTCGTCGATCGACGAGGTTGCAAGGTGATTTTCCAAAAAATCTTCTCAATGGATAGTATCATTATGTGGAATATTCGTGGTATCGGTAATAAAGCATCGATCAGACGTTTAAAAAATTTGGTCAAGATGCATTCTATTTCCCTAGTTGCTTTACAAGAACCAATGCAACCTGATTCTCAACTTGAAGAATTGAAAAATAAATTGCATTTTAAGTCTGCTATTTCTTCAATAACTGGAAAAGTCTGGGTTCTGAGTTCGCAAAAGTGGAACTTTATGGTGCTGGGTGGTACGGACCAAGTGCTACATTTAAGAGTGGAACAGGTAATTTCTTCAAAAGGTTTCTTGCTATCAGCCATTTACGCTAAGTCTACTCGGAGGGAAAGATACAACTTGTGGTCAGAATTTAAGGGATTTCAACAGCAGCATGATACGGAACCCTGGATTGTGGGAGGGGATTATAATGTGATACGGAATCTGGAAGAGTATGATAGATCATTACAGCCTGAAATGGGAGCAATAGAGAATTTCAATTGCTGGATCAATGATTTTAAACTACTAGATTTGCCTCCTATTGGAAATGTTTATACTTGGAAAGGTATGTGTCAAAGTGGAAGGGTAATGAAGCGACTTGATAGAATACTCTTTAATCGAAAATGTTTGTCTCTATTCCAGATTGCCTCAGTTCATCACCTCAACCGAACAAGCTCTGAATCACTCTCCTTTACTGCTAGAATATAAATCGGAGGAAGAATCAGGACCAAGAATGTTTCGTTTTCAGAAAATGTGGCTTAGATGGGAC